AACTATTATCTTATTAAGGCTGGCACACATTCTAACAGCTGAAGCCTGGGCTCTGGGAGACTCCAGTTACTATAAGCTCCTTTTTTTTATCAAACACTAGGATATGATATTAAAAGCATAAGTGATACATGAACAGATTGAGCTATTTTATACTGTTACCCTTGCTTACAGTATATGCATTTTTATTTATTCTTTTAAAAGTTTTTATTTATTTATCAGAGAGAGACACAGCGAGAGAGGGAACACAAGCAGGGGGAGTGGGAGGGGGAGAAGCAGGCTTCTCGCTGAGCAGGGAGCCTGACGTGGGGCTCGATCCCAGGGCCCTGGGATCATGACCTGAGCCGAAGGCAGACGCTTAACTGACTGAGTCACCCAGGCACCCCAGTATATGCATTTTTAAAGACATGATATTCTAATGTCAGAATTTCAGCATAGTGAGACAAGGTCTTCTTTGTGTTTCTCAGAATTGTGACATGGGGATAGTCACTCATACTTACAAGGCTGATCATAATACTTTCTTTTGTTAGGGCCAGGTAAATGTATTTTAATATTCAGTGGCTCACTGCCATCCTGTATATAGAACTATTTTTGTTGTTTTTTTTTTAAGTTTTTACTTGAATTCTAGTTAGTTAACATACAATGTTATATTAATTTCAAGTGTACAATGTACTGATTCAACAATCCCATATATCACCTCGTGCTCACCACAAAAAGTGCACTCCTTAACCAACATCACCTATTTAACCCATCGCCCCATATCCCTCCCCTGTGATAATCATCAGTTTGTTCTCTATAGTTAAGAGTCTGTTTCTTGGTTTGTTTCACACTCTCTCTCTTTTTTCCCCTTTGCTCATTTGTTTTTTATTTTTAATTCCACATATGAGTGAAATCATATGGCATTTGTCTTTTTCTGATGACTCATTTTGCTTAGCATTATATTGTTTAGCTCCATCCATGTCATTGCAAATGGCACAGTTTCATTCTTCTTTATGGCCGAATCATATTTCCTTGTATGTATACCACACCGTCTTTATCCATTTATCATATATGGACACTTGGGCTGCTTCCATAATTTGGCAATTAAATAATGCTGTTATAATCACAGGGATGCATGTATCCCTTTGAATCAGTGTTTTGTATTCTTTGGGTAAATACCCAGTAGTGCCATTGCTGGATTGTAGGGTAGCTCTATTTTTAACTTTTTAAGGAACCTCCATACTGTTTTCCAGAGCAGCTGCACCAGTTTGCATTCCCACCAACAGTGCAAGAGGGCTCTTTTTTCTCCACATCCTCACCAATACTCGTTGGTTTTTGTGTTGTTGATTTTAGCCATTCTGACAGGTGTGAGGTGATATCTCATCACAGTTTTGATTTGCATTTCCCTGATGGTAAGTGATGATGAGCATCTTTTCATGTATCTGTTGGCCATCTGGATATCTTTGGAGAAATGGCTGTTCATGTTTTCTGCCCATTTTAACTAGATTTTTGTTTTAGAGGTGTTAGAGTTTTATAAATTCTTTATATATTTTGGATCCTCACCCTTTATTGTATATATCATTTGCAAATGTCTTCTCCCATTCCTTACGATGCCTTTTAGATTTGTTGATTATTTCCTTTGCTGGGCAGAAGTTTATTTTTTTGTTTCCCTTGCCTCAGGAGACATATCTAGAAAAAACTTGCTATGGCTGATGTGAAAGAGATTACTGCCTATGTTCTCCTATAGAATTTTTATGGTTTCAGGTCTCACATTTAGGTCTTTAATTCATTGAGTTTATTTTTGTGTATGGTGTAAGAAAGTGGTCCAGTTTCCTTCTTTTGCATGTTGCTTTCCAGTTTTCCCAACATCATTTGTTGAAGAGATTGTCTTTTTCCCACTGGATATTCTTTCTTGTTTGTTGAAGATCAATTGACCATATAGTTGTGGGTTCATTTCTGGGTTTTCTATTCTGTTCTATTGATCTATGTGTCTATTTTTGTGCCAATACCATACTATCTTGATCACTACAGCTTTGTAATATAACTTGGAATCCCAGAATTGTGATGCCTCCAGCTTTGCTTTTCTTTTTCAAAATTGCTTTTGCTATTTGGGGTCTTTTGTGGTTCCATACAAATTTTAGGATTGTTTATTATAGTTCTGTGAAAAATGCTAGTGGTTTTTGATAGGGATTACATTAAATGTGCAGATTGCTTTGGGTAGTATAGACATTTTAATAATATTTGTTCTTCCAGTCCATGAGCATGGAATGTATTTCCATTTCTTTGTGTTACCTTCAATTTCTTTCATCAGTGTTTTATAGTTTTCAGAGTACAGGTCTTTCATCTCTTTGGTTAGGTTTATTCCTAGTTATCTTATGGTTTTGGTGTAACTGTAAATGGGCTTGATTCCTTGATTTCTCTTTCTGCTGCTTCATTATTGGTGTATAGAAATGCAACAGATTTCTGTATATTGACTTTGTATCCTACAACTTTACTGAATTTGTTTATCAGTTCTAGTAGATTTTTGGTGGAATCTTTAAGGTTTTCTATGTAGAGTATCATGTCAATTGCAAATAGTTTTACTTCTTCCTTACCGATTTAGATGCCTTTTATTTCTTTTTGTTGTCTGATTGCTGTGGCTAGATTTTCCAGCAATATGTTGAATAAAAGTGGTAAGAGTGGACATCCTTGTTTAGTTTCTGCTGGTCATAATATTTTATTAATTTTTGTGGCAATATTTTAGCTCAGTTAGGTCCATTATGTACTTTTCAAATAAAATTTAAATATATTTAGATTTTTCTTACTATTTTTATCTAAAACACAGTTAAATTAACAATAATTGTTTCTTAATATACTTCAACAAAGTGAAATTTACTGGGGAGGACTGCTTAATAATATTATCCTTCCAGAATGTATAGTCTCAATATATGGATCCTATATTTTATTTTGTGCCTAACTAACCTGTCTTCAAAGCAATACAGTTTTAATGAATTCTCTCATTTTAAAAGTGAGAAACAATTTATATTCTCTTCTCTGCTAAGTGGAAAAGTAGACTAAATGAACTTTCTTTTAATCCTAGAATGAAAGGCTGCCCAATGCAATATGTATGAAATTATGTAAAGATAGGTACATATATATTTTATTTAAAGTGATATACTGTTTTTATCCCCCATAGTTAAGAATGGTTGTTCTGAGTTGTATTTTTTACCCAATGGCAGCCAAAAGGCCTTAGATATAATCTGCTAATGTAGAGAGGAACAGAAGATGCTAATCTCTTTTATTCTGAAGATATATTTGATAAGATTTTGTTGACACTATGGGAAAGAAGGAAAAAAAGAGGAAATAGGAATTCCTTTTTAAAAGCCATTAAGCAAATTCTATGATGTGTAGTTATTTGCTAAATGAAGGGTAAAATTGCATGGTAAATAAAGATGATTGTACAGTACTACTTGGCTTTATCAGATGTATTTCTGAAGATTATCAGCAAAGTGAATTTATGTGTATTAATTTAAATAAGTCACATTCATTTAAAATGTTCTTAATAAAATACTAAAGTTTCTATCTACACATTTTACAGTTTTAGCAACTTTTTTTAAATTGTACAATTATTATAGATTCACAAAATACATATAGTGAGATCCCATACATCATTTACTCAGCCTTCCCAGTGTTAACTATGTGCATAACTATGGTACAAAATCAAAACCAGAAAATCGACATTAGTAAAATCCACTGGGCTTGTGTGTATATGTGTGTATGTGTGTATGTGTGTAGTTCTATGCAAGTTATCACATACGTAGCTTCATGTAACTACCACAACAATCAAGATATATAACTGTATTATCACAATGCTCTCTCCTGCCCTTCATGGCCAGCTCTCCCATTCCCCAGCTCTGGCCACCACCTATCTATTCTTTATATCTATAATTATGTCATTTCAAGAGCGTTATATAAGTGAATCACACAGTATGCATCCCTTTGAAATTGTCCTTTTCACTCAACACAGAGCCCTTAAAGTTCATCCAAGTTGTGTGTATCAGTAATTTGTTCCTTTTTATTGCTGAGTAATGAAATCAACCTCGCTGATACCTTATTCTTGGATTCTAGCCGCTAGAACTGTGAGAAAATAAACTTCTGTTGTTTAAACCACATAATCTGTGGCATTTGTTACAGCATAAGAATAGTTTTATCTTTATAAATTTGTCTCATATATATATGTGCTCATATACAACAATACTTTCTGCTATAAGACAATCATTTGTGTGTCCACATAATTTATGAATGCTTCTCAATGGGAGTTTTTAAAATCTCTGATGATTTTTCTGTATCATGTACTGCAGTAAATTGTGTTATGAGGGAGTTAAAGAGAATATATACTTATAAAAATCACAGGGGTATTCGTGCCTAACTATGTTGCCGTAAAAATCTATACTGTTATGAAGGGAACATTTAACTGAAAGCAACTGGATTTTTTAAAAAGACTGTTCAACAACTTTTTACAAATGGTGCCTAACAACAACATTTGGATACATTTCTGGATATATTTGCTGTTTCTTTTCAGAGTGGATCACAGTTAAGCATGTTGGCTGCAATGTTTTTACAACATAGATATGAATTATAATTAACATGAATTCTTACTATTTGCTTTATTTGATATGGAAAAGAAATGGCAGCATAAGTGGAGGAACTAAATTTCAATTCACTTAGCAACATTTTTTTTTATATCTGACGTTTGTTGGTAAGTGATATGGACTTGCTTATTAAGATGTACTTGTATAGGATTATATCAAAAGCAATGCATAAACATTGGAGAGAAGCATTATATCTAATTAACCTTACTAATAAGAAGTAATATAAAAAATATCTTTCTGGACCTTACAAAATAGTAAGAAAAACAACCAGAAGATCACCTCTTTAGTGTATAGAGTATACAACTGCACCTCAGTGAATATAGGTCCACCAGGGATATTATGCATCTGAAGCGAGTTACGAGTTTGTTTAGAGAAAACAGCAGTGGAACTTACCATCTTGATCCGTGGTCACTGTAATAGCTGTGAATGGCTTGGGAGAAAAACTCAACTCAGAAACTCCATTCATGGCTTCTATTTCAAAGGTGTAATTCACGTGAGACACAAAGTCAAGTACTATCACAGAATTGTTGATCAGGCCAGAATGTCTTGGGATGAAGCGGAGTCCTCCACCACAGTCTTCACACTGGCTGGTGTCTAAGCCACATTTCTTACAGATTACACTGTATGTGAGATCTTTTCTCCCTCCTGTGTCACTTGGTGGGCTCCATTCCAAAATAAGGGCCGTTTCATTGATGTTAAAAGCCACATTCCTAGGAGCTGAAGGTGGCCCTAGAGAAAAGCAATTAAAAAACAAATGTACATGTGTAGGACAATGAATTAGAAGGGGGCTAACTTGAAAACTTCAACAATAAACATTTGTTTTGTTTATTAGTTTGAACTCTTCTGATAGGAACCATAAGGAAATATGGTTAAAAACATCTGATTAAGCCTAGTAAGAAAAAAGTCTTGCGGGGGGGAAGATGGTCTATATCTTAACTTTTTGGTATATTAATATGAATATTTAATATCAAAAGTCAAAAATCTCCAAAAGATACAGTAATTATACTTTGAAAATTTGCTTACTGGAATATATCATAAGCAAACATTGTTTTAAATTATGTGATGGTTTTGGGCGCCTGGGTGACTCAGTTGGTTAAGCGACTGCCTTCGGCTCAGGTCATGATCCTGGAGTCCCGGGATCAAGTCCCGCATCGGGATCCCTGCTCGGCAGGGAGTCTGCTTTGCCCTCTGACCCTATCCCCTCTCGTGTGTTCTCTCTCTCTCATTCTCTCTCTCTCAAATAAATAAAATCTTTAAAAAAATTATGTGATGGTTTTAATTACATTTTAATAATTATATCACCATTTTCAAAATTTGAAAAAAATATTAACATACACATACAAAAACACAATATGTTTCTTAATATTTTTCCATATGGATCACACTGCATAGAGTACTTAATATCCTTTAACTACTCCAGTCTTTTCTTAAAACTGTGTCAATAATCTTTTATACTTATGTGAGTACTTCAAACCCCAGGTTTGTATCATTCCTTGCATAAACATTAACTGAAGGTCTACTAGGTGTCAGCACCACACTATGTGTGAAATAATACAGAATCCTTTCTGTAAGAGACTATGCTTTTGATTGATTGCATAAATAAAATAAAATAACATTCCTGTCATATTTTAGAATAACTAGTTTTAATAACTCTAAAACAATTCTTTAAATTTCTGCTATCAAGAAAATTTGCTTAGAAGGTGGGATAGAATTATCTTCAATATTCTTTCTATAGAGAGAAATTCAAGTTTTGGTATAGGGTCTTTATAGATCTCAAGATATAGTCATTCACTCATGAAATAAATATTTTTTTTAAGTGACTACTATGTGTGCCAGATAACCTGCTAGATCTTGGACTTACAGTGTGAATGTAACAGACAAATTCTTACTTTGTTATATACATTTAAGTTGAGTAGCAGGCAAATAAACACATTAAATAGAAGAATAAAATTCAAATTATAATAAGTAGTAGTGCAAAAATCAAAAGGAAAGGAGATGAAATAAACATTAACAGGAGGACCAGGGGTGCTTGGGTGGCTCAGTCAGTTGAGTGTCTGACTCGGTTTCAGCTCAGGTCATAATCTCAGGGTCATGGGATCGAGCCCCACATCGGACTCCACTTTCAGTGTGGAGTCTGCTTGTTCCTCTCCCTCCTGCTCCTCCCCCCACTCACATGCTCTTTCTCTCTCTCTCTCTCTAAATAAATAAATAAATAAATAAATAAATAAATAAATAAATAAATAAATATTTAAAAAAAAACTATCAGGAGGACCAATCTGAGAAACATTTGGAGAAAGCCTCATGGAGGTGGTGAGAAGAGGATGTCAGAGGAGTGAGAAGAGTATTAAGGGTAGAAGGTTCTTTAGTCAAGAAAGATCTTAAAATAGTCAAGGAACTGGCAGATAATCACTGTGGCTAGAATGCAAAAGGAAAAAGTAAGAAGTGAGTTTTAAGGAAGAGGAAGGGGTGGGAAAGTGCAAGACTCCTAGGCTCATTGTAATGAGTCTGGATATTTTTCTATGTACAACAGGAATAGGCTTAGAGATTTTATATATGGAGGTAATGTGTTTTAAAAAGAACATTCTGGCTCTAGGGAATAGTACAGGGATATAAGTACATGGGACTCATTAGTGAGATCTGTTATACAGTGTTAGAGTAGCATAACATTACTCATAAATTTACGTAACTATGTATTGGGTTTGAGATATTAAGAATTGTTATTTTATATTTTCCTTTTTCTTTTTGCTGGATCCTGATAACAGCAAACTGATGGGTAGGGGCCTCAGTCATCTGTATGTATATTACCTAAAGCCTGACCTAGAAATGGGATGGTTAGCTTTTCTAACAGGTTTCTGCATACTTTGTTTTATGCCATTTCATGTTTCAGAGAGTTACAGAAGCGTCTTTCTTCAGAAAGGAAAAGACAGAAGGCATTATAAATTAGAGCACAGGGACATGTGTAGCTTTTTACCTCCAACCTAGACTTATGCATGGGAGATAAAGATATACATTATCATTATCATAATAAGGTCTTCCTACAGAATGACATATTCATATTGTTGCTCTTTTCTCTTATTTATAAAGGAAAACATGAATTATTATTCACTTATATTTTCATGAATAGGAAGAATGTTATCAATTATGTTATGGGTGTCTGCAAGTATATAACTGTCCACCTGGAGATACTTAAAAAAAAAAAAGGCAGACACCCTTCTTACTCAAGGGCCCTCACACCAATTTGCATGACGATTAAATAGCTTTTTAATTGCTGTTAAATTATGCCGGCTAAACTGTGATTTCATGCAAATATTAAGCTGTAATGACATGCAGTGAATCATTTACTAAGATTTAGAACTTGGAACAAAGAGAGACAATTAATTCTAATCCTCAGATTCAACTAAATTATGTGTCACTGGGTTTTTATGAATGTGGCCTGATTGCTTTGTTATCATTTATAAATTATACAAAGATTATGCAACATTGGGGAAAAAAAAACTTGGCAGCAATAACCCTTTTGGAGAAATCTGTATTGAAACTTTTAGGGATTTCCTTACGTTGATTTTTTTTTTTTTCTTTAAAGGAAACAAGTAATTCACATAGAAGAAAAACAATCTCCACACTTCACCCTCCAGATTGACTTCATAAGAGAAGGGCAATTATTCTGATTTGCAACTAGATGTTTTTCAAGTCCATCATATAATAAATCTTACATTAAACTACAATTTTATTTCTACTAGCATATCTAGAAAATAAATCTTTAATCTTCTTCTTTTAATTTTTTGCTTCAATTTGGATTCCCCCTTTACACTTTTAAAGAATAAAGGAATAGTGCTGCAATAGCAAACTTATGAGAAGCTGGGGACAGTGCTGTCTTTTCTTTTCAGAAAAGCATCTGAGCCAACAGCCCCCATCTTCCTCTGAGTAGCAGAGGCCAGGTGGGCTATGATTTTTATTTTGTGTTATTTCATTTTATGTAAAGTGTTTTTAAACAAACTGCATTTCCCAAAATATATCCTGTGCCGTATCTCTAGTCCCATGAGCTATCATACAAAAAATGAGCTTAGTACTCCAATTAAGACTCCTCTGAATGACTGACACTGGAACAAATGTAACACAATTTGCTTCTCTTTGTCAAATCCAAAATTCCCAAACATTTGTTTATAGAACCTTATTTTCCAAGAAGCATCTATAGGAATACTAGCATTCTGCAGAACACTCTTACAGGCTGACACAGGAGAGCAAACTTAAGGATCATATTTCAGTTACTACATCAATTGCTGCAGATTTATATTTCATGATTTTAATTGTAGAAATATGCTACAAATAAACAGGGGTCTTATTCATAATGACTGGAGACTGATTATTCACCTACTGTATAGCTAATTGTGTTTGCAGATGCATTTTCTAACATTGAGAATAATGAAAATTTGATCCAAATAACTGAGGATATCAAGTCATGGAAGGCTACTGTTTACTAAACTGTATTTTATCAGTTAAGTTACTACTTGGCAAAAATTTAAATGTGTTTGTTAACTTAATGACTATCATAAATATATTAACATAGTTTCTTAATAAAAAGGAAATTTCTTCTTATTTATGAGCTTACAAATGAGAGAAAAATAGTTCTATGTTGATCTATGCCAAAGAGAACATTTAAAAAATACATTGAACCATCTAGAGAAATTTAGGTAAATGTTTTTGCAATGAGTAAATTTTAAAATTTGCTGAAGAAAGATAAACACATAGGAATAAATGAAAAAGTACATTTCTAGATTTTAATAATGTACTAAAAATATAGGTTGTCAGATTTGCATATGGGCATAATTTAGAACTCTAAAAGTCATCTCAGTTTTTGAATTATCACTATTAACTTTAACTTTTATCTATAGTTATATTTTAATCTAATCTCCTTCCCAAATGAGCTTTGAAAAATGCCTTTAATAGGAGTAACTGCAAGCAGAGTTTTGTATTTTCCTTCTCTAAGCCACTTAGTACTCTAAGTTTTGTTCATAAAATGTTTGTATATTTGGAAATGGATGATGAGTAATCACAAAAGTGGAGCTTCAACCTCACCAGAGGGAAGATAAATCAGTTTAATCAAATAAAGAAATGAGGCCCAGGAAAGTATTGTAATTATGTGAAGGTAACACGCTGTATTCATGGTCAGACGATACCTAGGTCTTATGTTTAGAATTTTTTTAACTCTACTATGTGTATTCTTCCTATGGATTAAAAAAAAAAAATGTCTGGTAAATAAATATTTAAAGTATTTTATAGGGCTTTGCTTAGAGAGTATTGTCAAATACAAACTTTCAAAACATACAAATTAATGAGAAATTTATTGCTTTCCAATGACAGATTCTTTTTAATAATGTTATCTTAGAGCATTTTAAAATAATTTTATATACAGAAGAGCAATTGAAAATGAAATCTTCAAGATAAATATTGCTCAAAATACAACACTATGCACACTTCAAATCCTTTGCATTCCACATATTTTCATTTTCTTCAATATTTTTACACCTACTCCAGTAACTAAATTGGTGCCAAAATTAAGACTTGCTATCCATTAATGTATTCATAGTACTGTGAATGATGACTGAGATAATTCTTTTTAGATTCTCCATTATTTCTAAAACTCAGTTAAAACAAACAAAAATCTAATAGACCAGATACCATTCACTTCCAGAATAAAAAAACCTAAACCTCTCAACCTTGTCACCATGTGT